GTTTTGTCCCTACTGTTTACACATCCAAGTATCTAGTAAGCTGGCTGAAGTGTTGGCGCATATGACCGGGTGGTGGAAGGAGTCACTCGAGGACTCCATTTGTCTGTCCCATTAAGGACTACAAAATAAAAAAGGATGAAGTCATTACTAGCAAGATTTCTTTGGTTCCTATAACTTGGGAGAGGGGGTGGAGCATAGTTCTTACCGGTATTTTTTAGGAAAAAAAAAATCCAGCTTTTGATGTGGTAAGATACTATTCAGAAGGAAAGATTCTACATAAATTTACAATAATACGTGGTTGGGCTAATTTCTTTTCTTTTTTACTGCAGCAAGATGTTTTTCCAGAAACAGATTTATACCCAAATACTTTACAATGGAAGCTTCGCATGTTGCCACTATGCTGGGCACTGGCGTCCGGCCCCCACGGCAGCCAGGCAGCGTGAGGGACGGGTGAGCTGAGTGCCGGCAGGAGGGGACACTGGTCACTAGGCGGTGCTCTCCCCAGAGGAGCTTAAATCTCCATCTACACAGAGAAAGGGGAAAGAGAAAAGGGGGAAATTGCTGATTTTATCTGCCTAAGGTCAGATTGATATGAATTTTTACTTTTTCTAGAGGATATCTTGACAGAGAATTTCACTTTTAGTCATACTGCTTGAAAAAAAAAAGGCTTACTGAGAAATCAAACCATTTCCTTTAGACACATGACCCCCAAAGGTGTGTGCATGGGAGGGGGTGGATTTAGATGATCACAATTTAGAATCCTCCTCTCTATTCTGTTTACCCCACCTCAGTCGGCCAAACACGTCTTCCTCCAGAGAAAACAGTGAAGGGAAGGGAGGCAGAGGTGGAGAGAGAGGTGCCGCCCCCCCCTCGGGCACCCCCCCCACCGGCCCACCACCCGCCTGCGGCTGCCCTGCTAATGGCCGAGCCTTTTAATTCTGGCCCCCACGCTCCCTTTCTGGTAGTGTACTTAGAACACCTTTCCCAACCAGATCGCCGACTTGGAGGATGTCCAGCTCTTGCCCAGAAAGCGCCAATAAAATGGGAAAGTGCGCAATTGATTGATAATACATTTTACAAGAAAAAAAATTAAAAGAGATACATTGTTGAACTATCACAAGTGTGCCTGCTTACATCCAAAGAACCAAAACTTTCTGAAATACGCGGGTCTCGGGGGAGGTGCCCCAGGAGCGCTCTTGGGAAGAGGAGCGGGAGAACCGAGCCCACGGCCCAGATTGGGGTCCCCACGCCTGGGCTCCAGGGCAGGCGGGGGAGGGGTGCTGCCGCGTGACCTGCCAGGCAGCTGGGTCCGCTAGTTCCCATCCCAGTCCAGCCCGTGCCCTCTGGGCTGCCCGCCTCGGGTCCTGAGAGTGGCCCCAGCCTCGCCCTGCGCAACCCTCCAAAAAGGAGAGACTCCCATTGACTTATTAAATGTCGAGGCAATCAGGCAGCTCCTTTTTTAATAGCCCAAGATCTACATTTAGACAAAAACAGATCCGAGTTCCTGGTAAAGGCGTTTCTTCTCATCCTGTCACAAGTGACAGGAACGGAGGGAAATAGACTGAGGGAGAGAAGGGGGGGTGAAGGGGAAAGA